GATTTTCAACTTCGGTCTTATAATTTTTAAAAGCTTCCCCAGCCTCGTCTTTGCTTCTTAAAAGATATAAGTAGCAAAACCTTGTGCAATCATCAATAAAAGTTATAAAATATCTTTTACCCATTCTTGTTTGCACAAACTTCAAGTCACATACATCATTATGGATTAAACCCAATGGTCCAGTATTTCTTTCCACCGAGTGAAAAGGTAATTTAGCCATTTTGGCTTCAACACAAATTTCACATTTTTTGTGTGATTCAATTTTAGAATTAGGAATAAATTCTAAGTTCATCAACCGTTTAATTGCATTTAGATTCACATGTCCTAATCTAATATGCCATAAATCAGAACATTCCACGATATAAATAGAAGTACAATTTTCATTATCATTAGAAACAGTTACACGGCTCAAAGTCATTACATTCATTTTAAATAAACCATTGTCGAGATAGCCATGACCAAAGAAATTACCATACTTGCTAAGAATAAACTTCTTAGCTTCAAACACTAACTTAAAACCATGCTCTACAAGAAGAGATCCGTAGACCAAATTCTTGCGGATGTCTGGGACATGCAGCACATCCTTAAGCTTCAACTCTTTTCCAGAAGTCATCTTCCACACCATGATGCCAACTCTAGCCACATCAGACGAGGAGGAGTTGCCCATGTGGAGCTTCCGACCGATTGAAGAAGTGTAGTTAGAAAACAACCCCTTGTCGGAACACACGTGGCGAGTGGCACCAGTATCAATGTACCACGCCCTTGGGTTATCCACCAAATTGGCTTCAAACACCACAGCCGACATATCCATGTTGGTTAGTTCACTCGGCACAGGGCCGTTTTCAGCAACGAGGGCACTATGTTGTGCCTTCTTCTGTCCAGCCTTTTTAGGCTTCTTGCAGTCCTTAGCCATATGGTTTGGCTTTCCACAATTGTGGCAGTTGCCGGTAAATTTCCACACTTTGGCAGGCTGCTGCTTCCCTTTGTTAAGGGGCTTCCTTTTGCTCGAGTTGCCTTGCTCTAGCAAGTTGGCACGAGCTTCCATCATTGGGGCCTTCCCCGAAGACTTACGATTGTCCTCTTCAATTCGAAGACGAACAATCAGATCTTCAAGACTCATCTCCTTCCTCATGTGCTTGAGGTAGTTCTTGAAGTCTTTCCAACCCAGCGGCAGTTTCTCGATCACATCTGCAACTTGGAATGACTCGCTCAGAGACATTCCTTCAGCATGAATGTCGTGCAAGATGAGTTGGAACTCTTGCACTTGAGACACGACAGTCTTAGTTTCGACCATCTTGAATTCCAGAAATTTGTCGACGACGAATTTCTTCGCCCCGGCATCCTCAGTTTTGTATTTCTTCTCCAAGGCAGCCCAAAGCTCCTTGGCAGAGCCAACCGAGCTATACACATTGTGCAACTCGTTACTCAGTCCGTTGAGGACATAGTTCCGGCAAAGGTAATCACCTTGCCCCCAAGCATCATATGTAGCTCGCAGCTCAGCATTCGATTCATTTTCAGCCACGACAAGAGGGTCGTCTTTCAGGTACTTCACCAAACCCAAAGTGGTCTGGTAGAAGTACATCTTCTGTTGCCACCTCTTGAAATCAAGCCCGTTGAATTTTTCGGGCTTCTCAGCAGTGGGAACATGAACAGCAGGTTGGGGATGATGAACAACGGGGTTGATATGTGGTTGAGTTTTTTATGCTTCTCCAGTGGATGCCATCAGTCCAGTAGGTGTTGAAGAATATTTGTCTTGCGATTGTTACACAATGTATGTTTTGAATTATAACGGGAACCTATGAACTGACTGAAGTTTTCAGTTCGTAGAAGTAGAACTATAACAAAATAAAAATTACAACTCAAAAGCAGACAGATTGAAAGCCGAGGCGATTGAAATCTTTCCGCAAGACAAATATGCCCCGTATAGTGCTGACGGGTCTTTGCGTAATGTCCCCAAAGATACAACGACAATACACTCGGAAGCTGTAGCACACCAGCCTTCAGAGTTCTAGCGAACGGATTAGAAGACGAGAACTGAGCACTATGATATGATGGGTGAGGCTTTGAGAGTATTCAGATTGCATGAAAATGTTATGTCCTTTTCACTTGCAGCTCTAAGTCCTATTTATAGGACTTCCACCTCTGAGGGAGAAACAAAAGTTACATCAGCCACTTAAGGCTGAGATAAATGGCACCATTAACCTGAAAATGTTTTAGGTATTACAACACCATTAACTAGGTGTTACTACACCATTAACCAGCCATTAACACTCCACATGCAAGGAGGGATTAGTCACCATAAGTAAGTCCAATTAGCAAACATTTGGAATCCACGGAGAAGGCCACGCCTCTACATCGTCACTCATTCCCTCATTTCGGCCGTCTATAAAGATGTGGTGCTTTGGAAAATTTTCCACCTTTTTCCTATCATATTCATCAGCTCATATATATATTTTAGTCTTTAAGATCAGCAACAAGTATTCTCAACATATTGCTTTAGTTAGATTGTACCGCACGTACGACAATACGTTCAGCGTCGCAAGGCAAGCCGCGCACAAGGCACACGCACGTGAGGCATAGTCAAGTTGCGATTCCGACGAGTACTTCAAGAGGTATAGCTATTCTCAGCCTATTTTCATGTCAATAAATTTTTAAGTTGAAGTGTTCGAGTCATGTTCAAGAATTCCTAGTATTGCCGTGTTAAAGTTCGAATATGCCTAAATTAAATCGTGATCGAGTAACTGCTTGTTTTACCCAGCAACTCACAAACCATTTATGTTTAAATGATCAGTTTACCTCATTTTATGTTCAGTCATTCGATGATGGTCGAGGAAAAATGTTTTTTTATGTGTTAAATGGCCCAAAGCCGTCGCTAGCGCTCATCGCGCGTGGCCACGGGCGGCACCAAGTCATGTCCTGTTACTTTCAGTTATGGTCACGTTCTTTTGTGTGATTTATGTCGTGATAGTCTCATAATGATGTTCATGTTAAAATGGTCTGGAGTTGCCGAGGGAAAAGATGATTCGGTCGGGAGACGGCTTATCGCCGTCGGCGGCGCACGGCGCGCTCGCCACGGCCCGTTCAGTTGATCATGCGCAAGGTTATAATTTTAAGTCATTTTTATGACTATGTTTATGTTGAGTCAGGTGATGTTGTTTTACGTTGAAGTTGTCGGAAAGGAGCGCCGGACGGCCGACAAGTGTTGGTTGTACATGCGCTGCCCGCATATCGCGGTAGCAGCGTACCGGCAGGGGTGCGTGGTGCAGGTACTGCGCGGTAGAGCGCCGCGTAAGGCTGGTGCCCGCAGCAGGTAGCCGTTGGCGATGCACGTGTGCACGCCAACACCCCGTCATGCATGTCAACGTGCAGTAACGCACGCCAGCGCGCAGCAACGCGCGTTCAGTGGTCGCACGACAGCGTCCTATATGGTAACCGTCATGTCCGTCCAGCATAAGTACGCCCGTTAACCTCAGCAGCACGTCGTGGTGCATGGCAGCATCCAGACTGTGCCCAGTCAGGTGGCAGCCGACGCACCTAGCGATCGGCAATGCCACAAACCGTGTCTGTGCCAATTCCGCCAGCAGCCGCGGCCGCAGCCTTGGCAGGTCGTGGGCCGAGTCAGCCGCCAGCCGATCGGTCCGAGCAGACCAGCGGTCCGGTCAGACCGGTTCGGACCGGTTAATACCGGTTTGACCCAAATAATGTTATTTTAGTCCCAGTTCGCATTTTAAGTGCCCTTTCAGTTAAATTTCTGGGATTATTTCAGTTCAGTAAATTCATGTCCGATCAGTTCATGTCAGTTCAGTTCCGGTTATTCCGGTTAAGTCTAAAATATCATGTCAGGTTCAGTAGAGTATCTTAATGAAATTAATCCGTTAAGTTAACAGTCTGAGCATAGTCATTAGTAATTTTTTATATTATTTTCAGTTTGATGAGGCATCAGCACTACCGTTCAGTTTCATCAGTTCAGGTGGGGACTCAGACTACGTACTACATTGATTATAATTACGGTACCATGTTTGAGGTATGTATTTCATGTGAGGTATCCGCTCGGAATGGTCGCCGGTCCATTCTGGGTTCTAGTGGCCCTAATCTGCCCACTAGAGTGTGCACATGGTGTCCGGCATTAGTTTTTGCCGGCAGATGAGGTAACGGTCAGGGTCACGTTTGCGTGACGATATCAGGTTCATGTTCATGTTATTACCGGCTTTATGTTGAGGTTATGTATATACTGATATCATGATGTTGTTATTATTTTCAATGTTTACATTAGTATGAGTTTCCACGGAGCACAGTGCCATAGTGCTCATTTCCCACTTTTATCATGGTTTTTCAGGTCAGGACGTCGGGCCGGGAGCGTGAGCAGACGAAGGCTTCAGGACTTTCATGTTTTGATTATATATATGTATTATGATGATTTACGCTTCCGCTGATATCAGTTTTTTTTTATGAACTTATATTTTGACGGACTTTTGCAAAATTTTACGCTTTCAGTGACAGTATGATTTTATTAAGAATTAAAATAACAGTTTTCCAAATTAAGTCACGTTTTTACGGTAGCACCCCAAATAAGTTTTTGCAAAGTGAAAGGTTTTATTTTTAAATAACTTTGCGAAATTTTCGCACTCTGATTTTACGATAAGGTGGGGTGTTACAATTGGTATCAGAGCACGTTTCTGCGTCTCTGAAAAGTTTTTCAGTCAGTAATTTTTCAGAAAAAACCTGAACCGTCATGCTCACGCCCCGCCGACGACAGGTAAGTGCTGATTTATGTTTTCAGTTATAAACATATTACTTTGTCTATGCTCAGAATTAAGGATCAGGACTTTAGTTAAGATGCTCGAATCAGGATCGGACTTTAGACGTCACGACTTCCAGATATGACTCTAGAATTCAGGGCATTCAGATATGACTCTAGACTTTAGTATCTTCCGAGATAACTCTAGAGTTCTTCAGGATTCATGTCAGTAATTGTCGGCCATTTTTGGCGACTCGTCAAGAGATTTGTGTGCCTTAGTAATCAGTCAGAATGTTATCACGTATTCAATAATGTTAAACTTTCTCAATGTTCAGATACCGCCACGTAGGGAACCCGATCATCCGGCTCCTACTCAGGCTACTGTAGTCGCCCAGTTCCGCGACTATCATGCTGAAAAGTTCTCAGGGCAGGTAGATCCTCGCATTGTAGATGAATGGATTCAGGGCTTGGAGTTTATCTTTGAGGTCATGGACTGCCCCGATAGATATCGTGTAGTTTGCGCTCAGCTTCAGCTCACTGGTGATGCTAGGCTCTGGTGGAATGCCTACTGGAGCATGCATCCCGGTGAAAAAGCGGGTTGTACGTGGAACATGCTCAAGGAGCTAGTCCGCGAAAAGTACTACCCCTCCTACTATCGGGCAGAGATGGAGCGTCAGTTCTTAGCGCTCCAGCAGGGAACTCGTACAGTTGATGAGTACGAGCGAGAGTTCACTAGACTTGCAGCTTTCGTACCGGACCTGGTTCGCACGGAGGCCCAGAGAGCGCAGCGGTTCATCGATGGGCTTTACCCAGCGGTCCGTCACAACATCGTGGGACACGGGACTCAGACCTACGCTCGTGCAATTTCTATCGCCCAGGAGGTGGATGCTAGCATCAGGAGGGAGGCAGTTCGTGATCGTGCCCAGCCATCTGCCCCAGTTCAGCCATTCGCAGCTCCACCAGCTCTACCAGCTCCTCAGCCAGCAAAAGAGAAGAAGAGGAGGAGGAAGGGTGCACAGACTAACCGGAGGACCCGACAGAGACAGCAGCAGGTTCCACCGTGCCAGACCTGCGGACGACTTCATGGGGATAGTGCCATATGGGACAGGACATCTGCTACTATTGCCACGAGTCTGGACATTTTGTGAATCGCTGTCCGAAGAGACTCCAGCAGCAGCCTCAGCAGCCTCCGCAGCCACCGCAGCAGCAGCAGCCACGTCAGCAGGCACAGAGGCAGCCTCAGCAGAAGCAGCAGAGGGGCAGACAGCAGGCCCGAGTTTATGCGGTCGATCAGGCAGAGGCAGCACAGCAGCCAGGTACTATGTCAGGGATGGTTGTGCTTAATGATATTCCTGTTTTTGCTTTGTTCGATACTGGAGCAACGCATTCATTCAGATCACGACGATGTCTCGATGCCATCGGAGTTCACGCCGTTACCGCTGTCGATCCTCTCGAGGTGAGTCTAGCCTCGGGACGAAAGATAGTGACCTCAGCTAAAGCCTCAGATCTTAGCCTTTCTATCGGTGGTCGAGTATTGTCTACCGACGCGTTTGTTCTCGAGATGAGGGACTTCGACCTTATTCTCAGAATGGATTGTCTATCCTTCTATCATGCAGACATCAGGTGTCATGACCGGGAGATTACTCTCTATCTTCCGGAAGACGAGTCGATCACTTTCTTTGGCTCAAGGAATCGTTCACTGCCTCATGTTGTTTCGATGGCGAAAGCCACTAAGCTACTGCGACGAGAAAACTGCCAGGGTTATCTGGTGAGCCTTGTCGATGATTCTCAGAAAGCGCGATCACCTCATGATGTTCCAATCGTTCGCGAGTTTGTGGACGTGTTCCCAGACGACCTTCCAAGAGGACCGCCTAACCGGCAGGTGGAGTTCTCTATCGATCTTATTCCAGGGGCCGGTCCAGTGTCCAAAG